GAGGAAAAAAATAAGGGGACATCTGTAATACTTTCAACAATAAAGATAAATTTTAAAAAGAAAGAAAGAAATTGTGCATCAGTCCAGCATCAATAGAACATGGGTTTGCAACTGGATGTTATTCCTCAGGAAGGGGCAGATTTCAGTTGATCCTGCATCCATATCATGGTTGTGCACTAATGTTTCAAAGGGAACAAGAATGGTGTACCTAGAGTCTTAGTCCTGTAATAGGCTAACTAGCGAAGCTAGGCAGGCATCATTAAGATTCAATTTCTTTCCAATGGCCAAATGACATCTGAACGGTGGTGGCTTGGCTCAGATTCTATTGCTATGGAAACCACAGCCATAGGTTTAATCCCACCATAGACTAGTGAGTTGTGCTGCAATCCATGACCACTGACGGGATTCCAGAACAACGTAAGCAACAAGTGTTCAATAAGTGCACACTGGACTGAACTGAAAGCTTATTGTTATTCAGCAGAAGTCAGCAAAAATGAATGCTGACAGCAAATATAAATATTCTGCCACTATGCTCAGTATAGAAAAGGCAACCCAGCTGAACTAGCTTTCTATTTTATTCTAAATAGAGGACTAAGTTGTAATCCCTCAAATGCAGACACATACCAGATTGTTAGCTCTGCAGATGAGGGGACCGTATCTTATTTATCTGCCTATCCTAGCACAGAACCAGACACATTTGAAGTGTCAATGTTTTTTGAATTGAATTATATTTGCTAGGCTGGTGTGGGAGTTAAGAAGATGTTGACTAGTATTTCATCATTCCTTTCCCTGAGAGCTCTGTAAATCAAGCTCTTAAAAAAAAAAAAAAGCAGCAAGCTAAATTCCAAAACCCTCTCTTAGGAGAATGCCCACGACTGGTGGGGTCTGGACTATGTCCACTGGATGTGCAGATCTCTTCTGCACAAACATCACTTACTCCCGAGGGAGCCCATGACTGGCCGGCTGGCTGTGGAGACTCACACGTTCTCTCTTTCCCAATGGCACGGGGGTCAGGGGAAAAGGGTAGGAGTTGAGTGATGAAGCACTGCTGAACTTAATGTTCTCTTCTTCCCAGGAGAAGGAAAATCTCACAACAGGAGAAGAGTTGGCACTTTTCTGGAAGAACCATAAAGAACATGGATGTAGTTGAAAATGATCTTTTCTGAAGACAAGTTTTGTGTGTGTGTATTTTTAAAGGGCCATCCTCAGATTCTCTCTTACCTTAGATTGGAATGGTGCTATTGGACTGGCTTTGTCAGAGATGAGCTGGAATCCTACAAACTGGGGTTAAAGTTGACTGAGTTGGTAGAAGGGTAATATGGGATGTTGGGTTGAGGAGTCATTAGGCATGATCCTCACTTTTAAAAAATTTATCCTACAACATTAACAAAGACAAAACCAAACTGGTATTTTCTAGTAAAAACCTTTCCTGAAATGTACTAAGCTAGGTTTGAAGGAGCTAGAATAGAAAATACTGATTTTTCTGGAAGGCAACCAAAACACAACTCAGTAATCCCCTAAGCTCCTAACAAATTCTCTTGAAGATTTAATCACAATATAAAACCCACAAGCTTTTATTGGCAGTGTTTGGTTATCAACTGTACAAGACTGTGAAGTGGCGTCCTATACAATTCCCAGGTCTGTCTCCATTACACATTCTGGGGCTGTTGGCAAGGTCCATCAGATTGGTGCCCTGGTCTAGCCTAGTAAATTCTTTCCAGGGGACTTAGGACACACTCTCCCAGCTGCCAAGTTCTCTACTTATAAGATGCAGAATTTATTAGCACAAAGAAAGATAAAAAGAGTCTGCTACCTTTAAGTGCTGTTACATATAGTTTCTTTATTAGACTTGGTGCTTCCAGAAATGCAGCTGCCCAGCTCATTTGTGCTAAATCAGTGGGATTTGTTTTAGCTTCCTGTGAACTTATGTGAGCTCTGCTCCCACCACGTATCAACCAAGGTCTCTTGTGCGACGCTTTCAAAGGAAGTCACCTGCAGCAACTCTCACTTGGGGAAAACAAAGCCATGAAGACTTGCATCTTTAACCTACACACGGCCATGCTTTGGAATCCAGGTTTGTCCAGTTCTGGAAATCAAGCCTGTCTAGTCACCCAAAGACCATCTTTTTCTTGCCTACGTTTTCTTCTTTCCAATTCCTTAAAATGCCTATTTCCATCTCAAGACCCAGTTCTGAGGCAAACACTGGCCTCAGACCATAGCACAGACACAACAGAGAGCACTGCAAGAAGCAGTGCAGCATGGTGAAAGCAAACAGGATCTGGAGCTGAGAAACCCTGAGAGTTCCAGCTCTTACCACTTGTCTGACCTGGGATAAGTCACTTAAAAACCTTAGTTTCTCTTCAGCAAAATAAGTATAAATAGTCATACTATCAGACTCTCTTCAGAGCAATTATGCCAAAGTGTAATTATTTTGTTTGAATGTTTATTTATTTTCCATTTCTCAATATGTGTCACTAGATTATAAGCTTTAAGAGTCCCTTCGCTTTTCGGTTCACCACAGTAGCCATTGCACATGATCAAGAAAAATGAGTAAGATTTGAATGAATGAAGAAAGGAATAAAGCAAGAAGGAAAGGAAAAAGGAAGGACGGAGGGAAAGGAGGGCAGTGTTAAGAGCATTACTGATGTACTGTATATGAAAGTGGTCTGTAAATTAAATACTGTCCTAATTATTGAAGAAATTATGACTCACATTTGATGCATTAATTACACCAGGGTGATCTTTTAAAAATGTCACATCCCTCCATAAAGCCGTCCAGGTGCTTTTCACACTACTTACAGTAAAAGTCAAACCCCTCTTAGCTTACAAAGCCCTATATGATCTGACTCCAGCGGCGCCTCATGTCCCACCAGTCTCCCCTTCCCTGTCCCCCATGACTCAGCTATTCTTGTGTTTCCTCAAACACATCTGCTGTGAAGCCTTGATGCCAGCCTCTTCCCCCTCCTGAAAGCTCTTCTGCAAAATCCATATGGCTGGCTCCTTATCATTGGGCTCTTAGCTTAAATGTCACCTTCTCAGAGAAGCCTTCCTTCTACACGCCTCTGAAGGAGCCATCACTGACTCACTGTTATATAGTACTCTATTATTTATATATTCACTTACCTATTACTAGTCTCCTCCTTACTACCTTATGATCATTAAGTATTTTTGTGTGACATTATATTTGTTTAAGATACTTTTCTAATTATTATTTTATCTCCACAAGTTTAGGAGCTCAAAACAAACACAAAACCCTATGGTTCCAGACTGAAATATCCTCTCCACCCCTCCATACCCAGCCCCACACACACTTTGAGAGAGGTGTCCTGACCGTGTGAATAAAAGCAGATGTGCCCGTCAGTTTTAGTATTGTGATTTAATTGGAGTGATGTGCAATCAGAGTTGCAATAACTGTTCAGAACTCTGACTAGAGGAATTGTTCTGAGACATGGAAACGGTGCTGCTGGGTGCCTAGCTGTTTTCTGTTCTAGGCTTGGAGGCCTCCTGGCTTAGGCCTGAGAACAGGCAGAGGAAAATGAATGGCAGGAACACTCACTGGTTCCACTGGGTCTGTTTACTGTGAATCCTGGGGAGAACCGTAATTCTGTAGAAAGAGCACTGGACCAGGGCACAGAGACAGGTTCTACCTGCCCACTCCTCCCACCCCCAGGCTATCAGTCCCTCTGTTACATGAGGTGGAACTAGATCATCTCCTAGCTCTGACATTCTATGGGTTAATGAGAGTAGTCTGACCTTGCACCATGAGCAACATGTCTGTGAAAAGGATGGCCCATGTAATATTTCTGATAGGCTCAGCTTTTCCGGACTAAGTTGGATTCCTTTGACTGGTCAGTAGTGGACAAACCCAGATCTCTGCTTCTGCCATTTTTCCTTAGCTTTCCATTTACTTTGCTTTGCTAGAGAAGTTGGTGCTTTGGGCAAATCCCCTATTGTCACATAGGGATCAACATCTAACTATAAGTGCATTTCATTCAGCCACTCTACAAGAGATGAGCTCCTACTGTATCTGATCTTGGCCAACACTCTCCCATCTGCTTTCAACATGTTGCATCTGACGTTAACTAATGTCTCCTATTAGCATTAAAGAAAACAATCTGGAAAAATTCACTCTCAAGCAGAGTTCAAACAGGCCACAAGTAGATGTGGAATCTCAACTGCACAAGGTTTCTTAAAATTATAGTAGTAAATAAATGCATAAATATGTTATTTGTAAATGTATATATGTGTGTATATGCATACATGCACATGTAGAGGTGTAGGTGGTGGGGGTTAAGCCCAAAGTCTGTGAAATAGGTCAAGAATGCTTCCGTCCAACTTATGAAAGTAACTGGTAACAGAAGAAGAAAAATTCTCCCAGTGTGGAAGAAGGCGCGATCAAAAGAACTGAATGACATGGGAAAAGAGCTGGGAATCTTTATCTCACACTTACTGGTAGTGGGTTAAAATTCTGGTCCACGAGGTGATTGTATCCATGGTCAAAAAATGAGTGCCGTATCACAACATCAATGCCCTGATTGGCCAGCATTCCTAAAGTGTTCAACCATCTAAAAAGCAGGGGGAAAAAGCTACATCAATACATTTGAAATAGCATATAACCACTCCCACCACCAAATTTACCTCATACTTTAAAGGAGAAGATTACTTTAAGCATTGAATACACAGCTGGAAGAGATTTTAGAGATTATCAAATCTAACCTCTCATTTTATAGGAAAAGAAACAGAGGTTCAGGAGAGTAAAATGAATTGCCCTTGGTCATAAATAGTTTGTTGCTAATGACTTATCTCTTATTCTTGTAATATTCAAAAATAACACGAACACCCTGGCCTCTTGTAAGCCGCATTATTACCCCTGGCCACAGGATACAGTCACAGGAGCACGTACTCTGTACTTTCCATCATGTGAACTCTGCTGCTTATACCCTATCACTGTGCATGTACCTTTCACGTGTCTCTAACTCAAATACTCTTATGACCTGTGCAAGAGTGGGCCAGTCATTTGTATTCCTCATATATTACTATCAGCAATCAATGCATTAATAACGGCCCTTGGCTCTATAACTAAATGTACAGGGATTCAAGTACGCTGCCATCACATACATGTCGCAGTGGAGGACCTGCATTGCTCACTTATCGCATGCCCCACTATGCCAGCCACCCACTTTCCAGGGCAGGCTATCCTTCAAAAATACTGTTCTCTTAGTTCTTCCAACACCCATGCTAACTCTGCCTTCATTGCTTACAAATTCAGTTCATTCATTTATTCATGAATTCATTTACTTTTCTCTTTCTCTATGTATTCCTACTTCTGAAACTTAAGGAAACTTCAAATTGTAATAATATATGTGTAAGAAATGTGACTGAGAGCTTCAGTCTTCTCAGTGTAAAAGATAAGGAAGGCATTTCACAATCTTTCCTCAGCACATCTGTCACGTCTTCTTCCCTCTCCTCTCACCCGAACCCTATTCCCCAGGCTCTAAGCCACATGAAGCCACTCTTGGCTGCCCAAATACACCAGGCTTTCACATGCTTACCTGAGTTTTTATACATCTTTTAACTTCTGCACAGTATTCACTTCCTCTCTTCCTCTAACCCATCTCACCTGGCAAATTTCTTTCCATCGGTTGCTCTGCTAGCCATTGTCACTTCCTCTAACTTCTGCCTCCCCAGTCAACAGTAGTACCTTCCTCCTCTGTACTTCTCAGAAGTCTTGCTCAGACCCTTTGCCAGCCCACTAAAAGATAATCACTTGCTTACTTCTCTGCCATCTCCCAGTTGGTTGTAAACTCATCAAGAACAGACATATGTTTTAGGTTTTTACCCAAAACACCCATCACAGTTCCCAGTTCACTGTAGGTGCTCAATACTCTTTATTATGTTGAAAATGATCTGGATCAAATTAAATTCTAGGAACTTTAGGAATCACCACTCAGCATACTAGAGACATATGCATAGTTATGGTTTCCCAAATCTGAAACCATATGGAGCTCCAAACCAGTGACTTACAGAATTAAAGTTTCCCCTTCCTGGAATAAAGAGCACTGCTAACTTTTATACTGTGAATGGATATCATTGGTATTTTCAAATATTTTTCACATTCACAGTTATATTTTATTCTCATAAAAACTAACAAATATTTACTGATAGAGTTACAAACACAAAACAAAACAACGCAAAACACAAAAACAAAAGTTTTAAATGTAAAAGGAAATTTAACGATAATGTAAAAGAAACTCTTTTGTTGTTGTTTTGATTGGGACATTGTAACCCAGGGAATTGAAATCACTTTTGGAATATCACATGCCTAAGCTACTTGACTTTGTTATTTTTACTCATTTAGCAGCCCTGTGAAATCAGGATAACAGGGTTAGCTTTTTCTTTGAGACAGCACTAAGTGTCTTGTGGTAGAACTATATAACATGAGTTCTGGACGGATGCCTCCTAAATCAGTGTTCTTTGAGTGTGAAAATAGCACAAATGCAATAGGGTCTATAACTAACTAATATTTATCTATGAAAGCACATGTGTCTTAGTCTCCTTTCTAGCCCTCTCCTTGTTGAGTGAATGAAGAAACAGTGATGAATAAATACCTCATCACGTATATGTGAACCCCTATACCTACCAGCCTCTGGACGTCAATACAAGACCATATTTTGGTATTTTTATCTATGAAAAGATCCCACTTGTTGACTCATTATTCACCTAACAATATTAATTAATCAACTGTCAATGCCAGGCCTTGTTCTCTGCATTGAGGATAGATTTTTTAAAGTGCTGTGTGACCATGTAAGTCATTTGCAAAGCACTGGATATGCAAATACCTGTACATTCACATTTACAGGGATGGTATCAAATTCCTCCTTGTGACCTCTGCAGAGCCTAGCACAGTGGTCTGCAAAGATTTTATATGCATATATATATAATTAACAAATAAATGTTAATTAGTAAGTCTGATTTTTTGCTATTACATGGGGAGCCTTTGAAGGAACTCTACCATGAGAGGGAAGGATACGCATCCTCCTCTCCAAGCCCGTGTCCTACATGCACGTCCCTGCAACATTCAAAAGTGACTAGAGTCAGAACCCCTGCTTCCCCGTGGCTTTTCAGAGTAGATGGTTAGTACTGAAGTTATCTTTATCTTCCTCCTGTAATAATAAGCCCCGTGAGGAAGAGATAAATGATGTTCCAAGTCTCCCTTTTATGCTCAAGTAGAGAAGGTGGTAAGCTAGCTGAAATTTTCTACCATGGATGCTACCACAACCATTATTTTCCATTCCACAAAAACTTATTGAATATCTACGATGTTCCAGACATCACTAGAAGCTGGAGACCCAATAGTATGCCAAGGGCATATTGTAGTGCATCAAAGAATCTCAAAGCCCTGGTGGGGAAAATTACCCATGAATACTTGGCAGGGAAGAATTCTGATTCCTCACTGCATGGGTGTGCATGCTAGTAAGCTCACAGTTATGCCATGTACTGAAAAAGGTTAAAAAATGCCTTCTTTCCAATTTATTTCTAACTTTCTGGAACTTCCTATAATGTTTTACTTTATTTTTTTCCTAGGAAGTAATTGATGCCCCTTGAAGAAAACTGAACTCAGAGGACACAATGCTGGGTAGCTGTCAGTGGAGTTGAGAGCAAATGGGTGGTAAAGAGGTAAGAAAGAACACCGGGAGCAGAATGAGCTAGTTTTCATATGGTCTGTGCCAATTAAGCAATGGGTATCTGAACTACCACTAGAACCTAAACAACTATGTTTATCTGTGTTCTGCAAAATGACTGCAGAGATCTATGGATACTTGATGCTCATGAAAAGACAGGTCTCTCTCCAGCTCCCTCCATGAAGGTCTGTGGTATTCCTCATTTCACATCATTCCCTAAAGGAAAGAATGCTCATGGAAACAGTGCAACTGGGCTGCTTGCTGGGCGCTACAGCAGAGTTCTTTTGCAACAACTGAGCAAGAGCCATTCCACTGCTGATGCCAAGAGGTCCCCTGTAGTACTGACTGCCAATCTGGCTTCTTACCCTTGCCCCAGGGCTCACAGTGAAACCCAGCGGGGAGTATATTTTTGAAAGAAGACTCGCAGCAACAGTGCATCAAATGCTGTTCACTCCATTTCACTCATCTGAATGCTCATTGAACAACTGCTCCATGCCACTTAAGGCGAGGTGCTAAGGACACATGGATGGGAGACCCAGGGTGTCATGGTGAGTTACACTGACTCAATATCTTCATCTGCACTTGCAAGATTCCATCTGTAAAGGCAATCTACTTGCCTGGCCTGATTTTTCCTCCACAAATGTATCAAAGGAGCTTCTTAGGAGAACCTTGCTTAGCCAAAAAGCCAAGACCATAGGACTAGACTTAGATCAGGTTAGTCCATGGTCCTGAGGGGTTTGTCCCTGCTATGTAACACTGGCAGGCCAGTCACAGGCCCTTATTCTTCTGACTTAAATTGTTCTCTGGACAACTGCAGTAGCCTTCAAATTCATTTTCCCATCCCTTCCCTCTCCAAACTCTTGAGTATACTATTACCAAAGCCAATGTTTTAAAATACAGGTCAGATGGTGTCTCTCTCCTCCTCCAAAATCTTCACTGACTGGCCTCATTTCATCTGCCTGGTTTTCAAGGCATTCCATGATTTGATGGTAAGCCCTCTCCCAAGTCTCAGCCTTCCTCCATCCCTGCAGATGCCAAGGCTTTTGTCACACTAATCATTTCCCCTCCACTGTTCCTTTGCCCGTAATATTCCTTCAGCTGAGAATGCTCCCTGTCCTATCACCACCATTCTCCACCAACAGGAATTAGAGCAATGTCTCTTTGTCCCATGCAAATGCCACTTTTCCCATGAAGCCCTTCCTGATCCTCCCAGTCAGAGAAATTCTTGATTCCTTTGCTTGTCTATCACTTTTCTTTTATAGACAGACCCTGTGAAAAGTGGTGTGATATAGCAGCAAAGAGGCTGGACTCTGGAGCATGCTGCATGGGCTCCAGTCTAATCTCTGTCACTAACTAATAACAGCATCTACGTCACTGGGTTGTTATAAAGTATCTATTTCACTGGCTGTTAAGTTATTAGCCATGTATAAAGCACTTTAGACAGTGCTTGGCACATAGGAAGCAGGATAGAGTTAAAATTATTATCATCATGGCACTTGTCTTCATGAGTTTACTTATCTCTTGTCTCCCTTCCTCCAATGTTAAGCTTCTGGAGGGCAAAAACCTTGTGTTACTCTTACCCATCTCCCAGGACTATAGAGAAAATGTATGCTGTCAGCATTATGTTTTGCACTGGAGACATTAAATAAACATTACTTTTATGACGACTGCTGCTACTATCTTGTTCTGATGCCTGTGCCTGACATTTTCATATCTAGAGAAGTCTCTGATCACTGTCTACTAAATGGTTAAAAACATTCACAAATAAATGAATGAAGAATTTTCAACAGGAAATGACCTCCCCCTCTCATGGGCAGAATACTGAGCAACTGCGGAAGTTGCACTGTCCTTCTTTCCTCAAAGTCCCTGGGAGTGAAATTGCAAGTGTTACTCACAAGAATCCTGCAGCATAGGAATCTGATAGGTTGTTTGTGCCTCCAGCTGAGGTGGTCACCACACCTTCAAGCCAAATCTTCTTCCCTGGGGTATATGTATTAACCACCTGTTCACACAACAAAAGCAGAAGGGGATAGTGAGATTTTTAAGAGCTGTTCCCCAATGAGAAGAAACATATTCCCTTAAGGAAATTCCTTCAATCTCTTGCTCCCAGGTGGTAATGACCTGTGCTTTTTTATGTTGATGCACCCCACATATAGTGACCTGGTGTTCACACGTGCATGCACGCACATGCACACACACACACACATACACACACACGCGTGCGCGCATTAATATTGACACATGTCCATTCAAAGAAATTATCATTTTTTTCCTAAGTAAGTCCAATGTGACAAGAGAACAAGTGAATATTCCAGGACATAAACTAACTGCAACACCCTTCACTGGAAAATACAAATCTATGATATTTTCATATTAACAAGCATTGAGAAGCAAATTTTCTTAATGGTCTGTTATAGCAGATCCATGGATGAGTGCACTGTCCATGCATTAGAAGTCATGAATGATGAGAGAGGGCAGAGTTCACTGTCTGGAGAAGTATTTTACAATTACCAGGGCATGTGTACATATTACAACCAAATTTTGGAATAAGTGCAATACATGTAAAGAGAAAAATCACTGACACACAGGTGAAATATCCTGCACAGGGAGCACTCTTCCAAGCAAAGGCAAAGCCTCTTGTCAGAAGGTGGTCCTCTGAAGTTTTGAAATGGCCCAGTCTCTGATCCACAAGTTGGAGACTAGCCAAACTATTCCGATCAGAGCTCAGATCCTTTGGAAAGCAATCTGGTAATACTTAGGGATAATGTTGTACACTGCATAGCCTCTGAAAGCAGAGCCTGAGACAAAGGCTTGTCTATAGGTAGTTCATTTGGGAAGTAATATCAGCAGGAATGAGGAACTGGGGGACTGAAATAGGGAAAACCAGTGCAAGGAAGCATTTAAAGTTGGCAACCAATGCTGGCAATTCATACTCAGTTCCATGGAGATCTTGGTAAGAGCCTTGTGAACTGTACCTCAGAACTGTCACCCAAGGGGGAACAAGGGGAAGTATTTATCCCTTGGCTGATATCCTCCCAAAGGTCAAGAGTAGCCTTGTGACTATTAATTCCCTTCCCCTGTTACCCCATTTCATTGTGCAGGCCTGAGTGCTGAGTAGGTTCCCTGTGTTCCATATCTTTGCCTTAGAGAAGTCCCAGGACAGGAAATGGGGGGTGTGTGGGGGGGTGTGAAGCCCTACTGCACCACACCAGCACCACGCTGGTTGCAGCCTGTACACCTATCTCTGGTCTCCACAGAGATGGCTAGAGCAGGAGGTGGGACTGAGAGGGTGCTGGTTATGCACAAGAGGTGCTGGATGACTATAATAGTGCACTGGTTAGGTCCCATGGCCCACCAATTCCTCTCCAGTATATATAGACTAAATAAACTTTCTCTTAGGTCTCTAAGGAGAAAAGTATGAGAATGTTCACTATGTCTGTGCAGGTGTCCATTGCTAGAGGAACAGAAAAGTAAAATGTGGTGGATACATACCATAAAATATTATGCAGCATTACAGCAATAAATTCAATGTAAAACCAGCAACATGAATAAGTTTTAAAGGTTTAGTGGTAAGTTAAGAAAATAGTAACAAAATGAGACTTATGGCCCAGTATTATTCATGTAATTGCCAATTCACACCCAATAACACTAAACAGTATTTAAAGATACATGTCTCTTAAAGACATATATCAAACACATAAGGAAGTCATATATTTGAGGGAGGTACATATGAGTGGGGATTAGAGGTGAAGGTGAAAATTAAAACAAAGCAGATCTTTGCATGAACTGATGATAACAGTTTGCTATAGTATAGGAATATGATTTTAATTAATTCTCTGCACCTCAGAAAACTCATATAATTATACACATACACATACACATATACATATACGTATATAGAGACGCATATATGTCATAACTTTCCTCTTTCCCAAACCCAGATGGGTAGACATCAGCAAACAGATTTCTTTTTTTGTTTTTTTAATCTCCTCCTAGGTACAGCTCGTTTCCCTTTTCCTCCATTTACTAGAGAATTTGTATTACTGGAGACCTATTTCAAAATCAGAGTTGGCAAAGTGCTTGACTCTTTCAGGAATATAGTTGTAAAAATATTTCAAAAATTTTAGATGAAATAGTGATCAAGAATGAAGGAGAAACCCTGAGAATTAATAGTAGAGGTCAAATTGGAATGTTGTTAAAGATTAAATAAGAATCCCCACTTGTACCAGAAACAGAAGAGTCATTGAGGACACCACAAACAGGTCTCTTCCCCTTCTCAACACTACTCATAGTGCCTAACCCACGTGGAATTGAAAGTAGTATAACAAAGAAAGCTAGGAAAACACTTTAAATAATCAGAAGACAGAGCCATATCGTGAAATTAGACTACATCAATGATTCCTCTTAAAATATACTTGTGTTAGCCCTGGTCAGCGTGGTTCAGTGGTTACAGTGTCAGCCCACGCACCGAAGGGTTGCAGGTTCGATTCCCGGTGAAGAGCACATACCTGAGTTGCAGGTTTGATCTCCGGCTTGGTTGAGGCATGTGTAGGAGGCAACCAATCCTTGTGTCTCTCTCACATCGATGTTTCTCTCTCCTCTCTCTCCCTCCCTTCCTCCCTTTCATTCTCTCTGGAAATCAATGGAAAAAATATCCACATTCCTGGGTGAGGAATATATATCTACACCTGTGCTAGAAAAATACCTGTGCTCTTGATAAACTTTGTACTTTCTTTATGACTAAGTAGAGCTGAGTAATGGTGTTTTTTGTGTTGTCTTTGGCTTCTAGGATATACAGAATTTAATTTTTGCTCAAAGACAATTATTGAAATGAAGCAGTTAGAGAAAAGGGGTTTGGTTAAACAAAACAAAACAAAAAGATAAATACTACAGTATAATGAGCCTTGAAATCATTAAACTGAAAGAAGACAGACACAAAAGGCCACATATTATATGATTCCATTTATATGAAATACCCAGAATAGACAAGTCCATGGAGACAGAAAGCAGATTAGTGGTTTCCTAGGGTTGGAAAAGGAGAGGGAGGAGAAGAGAGGGGGAGGATGGGAATGGGGTTTCTTTTGGGGATGATGAACATATTCTAAAATTAAATAGTGGTGATGGTTTCACAATTCTGTGAACATACTAAAAGTAACTGAATTGCATAGTTCTAAAGGATAAATCTTATGGTATGTGAATTACATTTCAATAAAGCTGTGTATGTACATTTTTTGATATTTAAATTACCTAATAATTATAAAGCATTTGGAAAAGTGTCTGGTATATGGTAAGCTCTTAAAGTGCAAATTACCTAGACTACTCTCCTTGTTCAAAGTACATTTGATTATGCTTGGATCAATCTAACATTAGAGCTGCTTGCTTTTCTTTTGGACACAACACTTGTAGTGGTAGGTAATAGGCCAGATGCATGCTAAGTAGCAGAGAAAGGCCCGTTTAAAACTTCAAATACACATGGATCACTCACATTAACATAATTAGCATTCCGAATAGTTCATTTATCCAATCTCAACACAGGAACAACTCCTGTATTCTTCTAGAGAAGTCACATGAACAAAAACTACACAGTGAGGTAGGACTTAGTTACAAAATCTAAACAAGTTATATGAAATGTTCTGTGGGAAAGAGATTTCTATAAAGTACTCATGTTAAAGGTTCTGGGAGTAGTTGGTACAGATCAACAAGGGTATCCTGAGCATTTACTGTTTGGAACATGGTGAGAGGCTTGGTAAACTGTATGTCTACCATGAGCAGAGAAGACCATTATGGTGATGTGGTGGGAAGGTACTGAGGCTGGGCACTGGGTGGGACTGGGGAAGAAATCGGTATGGGCAGACTAGGAGAGAGAAAAATCAGGAAAACCAGATGGAACCACCTGCAAAATTCTCTCAGAAAGTGAAACTCTAAGAAACTGAGGGCTATAGTTCAGCACTGCGGTTTTCTGCGTAAATATGATTCTCCCTGTGCTGGAAGAGAGAAAATTGCAGGACTGGAAAAAACAAGGGTACGTTCCTGGTGAGAAATGATGTGCCAATGAAGGTTATTTTAAGGAACACATTGTCTGCGGGGAAGGTGGGGAGTACAAATGCTGAGATTACTGATGTGAAAGTAGAGGGAAGTTAAGTGGTTGGCTCCCTTTCAGCAGTTCTTTGTTCCAAATAGACTTGAGCCATTGGACCCATGTAGACAAGGGAGTTTTGAGGCACCCACAGAACAGCTCACCAAGTGACTAGTGGCTGACCAGAATCCTCAGGCCTGTTGGGGGCAGGGTGGTGTGAAGGGAAACCCAGCTCCTTTCCCTCATATTTTGGGGTTGAAAGCATCAGGACTATTTCATGCTGAAGGAGGAGGGCCGAGAGAGAAGAGAGAGGTTAGGAAAAACAGCACTGATTTTTTTTTTAAGTTTTATTTTCTCTACCACTTTGAATTTTTTTAAAAAGAAAAAACAGCAAAAATAGAAAAATAACCACTTACGTGGCACAGTTTCAAACGTGGACTTCCTTTTCCTGTTTCTCCAAAACTGTGACTTAAGTCTTTAAAAAAGACTCCTGAGAGCCTGGTCTCAGCCACTGGCTGTGCAAGAGATGGTAGCCTTGTAGCAGCAGACATGTTGTTTATGGTTATCCAAACCCAACACCTTCCTTAATGAGAAAGGAAGCAATAAAACAGAAACAGTGGACAGGCCAGCTGGGCTAATCAGCCCTGGCAGGAGGCCCAACCTCCAAAGAAGCTGGAGTCCATTAATTCCAGCATCTCATCTACTCAGAAATCAACCTTCCCCAGGACCTCAGGAAGAGCAGTAGCTCTTTAAGAAGCCAGAACTGATCCCTGTATCATTGGCTCAAAGCTTCAGGAAGCTTCTTAAACCTTACCTATGCACAGAGCTCCTCTTGGGGTGCCTCTGCCTCTCTGTTCATGTTATATTTATAAGAGGTCTTGGTTAGAGTTCAGTAATGTTCCGACGTTTCTTTTCATCCTCTGTGT